TGGTGAGTGGTGCGAGGCTGGAGGAACCGAAAATGTACAAACTAGTTTAAAACCTGGGTCGGTGCTAAGGGGCCGCAGATGGATGGCGAGGCTGGGGGGGTCCGGGGCCCCCCTAACTGCTGCCCATGCCCCCGGTCTCCGAGGAGAGCCTGCAACGAGAAAAGGGCGTCAGAAGGACCCCTGGGCAGGGAACGGGGGCAGAGGGACCCCCCCGGCAGGGAAYGGGGGCAGAGGGACCCCCCAGCACTGGAACGGGGGGAGGGGCTGCTCTCACTGATGGAAGGGTGGGGGGCCCCGATGAGGGGGGGCCGTGGTGGGGGAACCTCCTCAGGAGGGGTTTGGGGGTTTTGCACAAGCAGCGAGGGAAGGGAGGGGCCCCCTGCCCTAAACCGGTGCTGGAGGGGTTTGGGGGGCTGGGCTGAGCACAGCAGGTGCTGCCCCGAGGTTTTGGGGAGGGGGGAACCCAGGGGACCCCCGAGCGGGGCGGGGAGGAGGCAGCGCAGGAGGGAGAGCGCAGGGAGGGGGTGGGGGCACCTAAACAGGGTCTCCCCCGGGGTGGGGGCGGCAGGGGGGTGCGGGGGACACACAGACACTGCAAAGGGTCCCTGRGCCAGCAGGGACCCCCCAAAGGGCAGCCCACCCCCCAAACCCATCGGGCACGCCCGTGGCGGCTCTGAGTTTGTCCCTCCCTGGATTTGGAGGGGTGGTGGAGGCAGGGAGGGGGAGGGACCCCCCCTCAGGCAGAGGGGACCCCCGGGCCGGGCCCCGCTGCGGCACAGATCTACCAGAGCAGATTCTCACCGTGGCAACTTTATTACAGGTACAGACAGTTAAGAGAGGACAGGTGAGGCCCCCCAGGGCACCGGGGATGCGATTCCCCCTCCCCCAAAAAAAATCACGGATTCCCTTCCCTCCCTCCACCCCCTCTATCCCGCCCCAAACCCCACAACTGTGCCCGGACTACTCAAAAAAAAAATGGGAAAAGGAGGAGAAATGGAAAAAAAAAAAAAAGGAAAAAAAAAAAAAAAAAAGGAGAAATGGAAAAAAAAAAAAATGAACAAGCAACAACTACAGGCAGGCAGAGAAGGAATTGTGACCGCTCACAGGACAAAGGGACACAGTCTCTCGGCCGGCAAGAAAAAAACTCTGCTGCTGCAAGGGCAGCATGAGCTGAGTAAAAAGGAAAAAAATTTAAAAAAAAAACAATAAAAAAAAGGAAAAAAAATAGAGAAAAAAACTGCTGTTCCAAGTCTCCTCTACGGGGTCCTGGTGCTGCCACCCCCTGGAGCAGCCTCAGTACGGGGAAAACCTTTGCTTCTCCGCTTTGAGTTTGTTAGTGACACAGGGCACGGCGGCGGGCGCCGCGGCCCCTTTGGCCGCAGACACGACATTTAGCGCCAGGAGAGGGACAGGTTTCATGCCAAGCAGACTGGAGACACAAGGGGCRGTCGGAAGAGGGTTGGGGAGGCTGGAGGGTGCGTCGGAGGCCCCCGCGGTGGCGAGCGAGGGGGTGGTGGTGGAGGAGGAAGAAGAAGAAGGGGTGGAGGGTTGAGAGAGGTTGATGCTGAGGTGGTCAGGGATCGTGACGGAGGCTGCCTGGGAGGAGGGTTTAGCGCTTTCTAAACTGTAACAGAGGAGAAAAGGAAAACAACAAAAAAAAAAGAAAAAAAAAGTAAAAAAGAAAAAAAAAACACGGGTGTGGGTGGGAGGGAAGGAACAGCACAAAATGCGAAAAAAAAGCACAGGACAAACAGCGAACGGCGCAGGAGCCGAGCTGGGGGAGGAGGAGGAGGGAGGGAAGAGGGAGGGAAGGAGGAGGGAGGGAAGGGATGGTGCTGCCGGGCCTGGCCCAGCTGCACACGGGACCCCCACCCCCCCAGGGAGGTTCCCCCGTGTGCCAGGATTGAGCCAAAATCCAGAGACCACCACCAGCAGCTGCTGCTCTGCGGGAGCAGGGACACGGCCCCAGGACCCCCAGCCCCTCTCCACCAGGGATGGCATTCCCAGCTCCAGGCAGGGGACAGGGGACACCTCCAGGGGCAGCCCGAGCCATGCCAGGCCCCCCCATGGCACCGAGCCGTGCCAGGTGCTGCCAGCGGCACCAGCAGCTCTCTGGGATGACGGGATCCCACTGGGACACTCGGGATCCCCCCGACAGGGCTGGGCAGCCCCTYCTGTCACCCTCAGGGTGACACAGCAGAGCCCACCCAAAGGCTCTGCAGTCCCAGGCTYCCCCCCAGSCCCATCCATCACCCTGAGGCACTCCTGGAGGTGACGGCAGCGGGGAAACTGGGATAGCAGGCACAGGGAGGGGACAGAGAGCAGGGAGAGAGAAAAGCCCTTCCCCTCATGCGGGATGGGGAGGGAGGGGACCCCCGTGGGGCGGAGGCAGGGACTCACCTGACATTGATTAGATACTGGGCCAGGCTGATGCTCGCTGCAGATCCAGTTATGGTCACCTGCCTGTCAGTAGAGCCTTCCACGGGGTTGGCAATCTTGATCTGAGCCCCGGACATCTGGCGGATCTCGTTGATCTTGGCGCCCTGACGCCCGATGATGCAGCCAATCAGCTGGGGAGAGGACAAAGAAGGGTTAGCTCAGCYTCATCCCTGCCCTGGCACCTCCTGGGCTGGGATAGCAGGGGCAATTCCTCCAGGGAACGGGCTGTCCCAGCCCCATAGGCTGCCCAGGGGCCTTGGAGGCATCCAAAATCATCCTTGGAGGTGTCCAAAATCATGTAGATGTGGCCCTTGGGGACACAGTTCAGTGGCAGGAGGAATAGTTGGATTTGGTGGCCTTGAAGGCCTGCTGCAACCTTATCAGTTCCATGATTATGGGATTCCTGGGGCTGGAGCGTTAAGGAGCTGCAAAAGGGGGTTTAAGGGACTGAAAAAGGGCATTTCTGCCTTAAAACCCACTGCAATAGGGACAAGGGATGCGGCAGCAGCCAGAGTGGCCAGGAAGGGTTTTGGGATGCAGCCACCACAGCTTTAAAGCCAGGAACAGGCAGCTCACAGCCCCTGTGAGAGGGGCAGAGCCAGGGGATCCTCAGGGCATCCACCCTCCACCCCAAACCCCTGGGATACTCACATCGTTTGGAATGGTGAGTTCATGGGAGGTGGTTTGGGCAGAGGCATCCAAACCTGCTCAGAGACAGAGAGGGGGCCCAGGTGAGGTCTGGGCAGCCAGRGGGTGCAGCACCCCAAGGGCTGCCAGCTTCAGGCTCGGGCTGCCCGGGAGGGCTCCGGGCGGGCAGGGTGGGCACAGGGGCCGGCAGCTCACTGAGCCCCGCTGCTCCCCACATCTGCTTCCCCCTCTGCTCTCTCAGCCCCAAAATCTCCCCCTCTTTGTGCCCCCACCGTGTGGATTCTCCAGCAAGGACAATCCTGGAGCAGGGGGCCGGCACTGGGGGGCTCCAGTTGGACACTCGGCTCCACTCCCGCTCCGGCTTCCAAAGGTTTCCCCTCCTCCTCCTCCTCCTCCTCCCCACAGCCCAGCAGGGCCGTGCTATGCCAGTGCAGGCACGGGGAGGCTGCTCTCACACCACATGAGGCTCAGCTCGTGTGTCTGGGGGGCTTTGATCACAGTCTCTCCACATTTCCCCCCTTSCCCAGCTTGCTCCCTGCGAGAGGGAGCGGGGGCAGCCTCACGCCAGGGCTGTGGCAGGGGGACACAACARGGGACACCCGGTGCTGTCCCCCCACTCCCGGGGCAGCTCCAGCTCCTGACAGCTCCAGCACCTCCTCGGCCGGGGGTTCTCCCCTCTGTGAGTTTTTTTTGGGGGCGTTTTAAGCTCCACCCAGCCCTGCTGCTCTCCACTATCCAGCTGTGCTCCAGGGCCTGGCCAGCCGAGCCAGACTGCACCTCCAGCCCTTCTAGGGCTCCCCTCAACCCCCTTTCCCCTCCCAATCTGGGCAGCATCTATCAGGGAGAAYGAGACCCCGGGCAGCATCAATACACAACAGAGTAACTACAGATCGTGTGTTTGGATCATTACCCCAATAGCCTTTCACCTCTGGAGAGCTGGAGTCAATGCCTGTTAAGATACAAGTCACAATGAGTTCGGCTGTCTCAAGTTTAGAAGAGCCCCAAATGGGTAATTTTTTAAWWTTTTTTTTCTTTYWAWWWTTWKTMKWYTYTTTTWKRKGKKKKTTTTTTTKCAGCCATCTTTGCAAATCTACAGCAAACTCAGCAGTCGCCTGCTTCAGGCCTGGAGCAGCCGGAGGGGAGAGAGCGGGTGCTGTGGGTTGGGGCTCTCCCAGTGCATTGGCAGAGCTGTGGAGGCCACGGGGACGAGGGAGGGAGGGAAGCAGCATCGATGGATGGAGACCCTACCCCTGCAGCCCCCGGAGATGTCACAACAGCAGCGGTTACCTGGCCGGGCCCGGGACAACGTTTGGGATTAGGTTTTTGTGAGCAGCCCCACAAGGGAGCCCGGAGTGGCCCGGGCTGGGCTCCGGCCCCGCGCGAACGCACACGGAGAGAAGGAGTTTCCATACCACTGAATCCAGTGTTGCCATGAGACATTGGAAAGTGTGACTGTTGCATTGCCAACTGGTGCAGCTTGGTCAGCTAAAGGAGGGAAAAGGGAGAGGGGGRGAGAGAGAGAGAGAGAGAAAAAGAGGCTGGCGTTAGCCATTTCCCGAGGCCAGGGGCCAGGACTGGCCGCGCACGCGCCCGCACGGACACGGCCCCGCCGCCCCCTCCGCGCTGCCCAGCCCCGGCCGAGGGGGGCCAGCCCCGGCTGCAGCAAGGTCTGGAGGAGCGCAGGAACAGAAGCAGAGAGGAGCGGGAGGAGGGAGCAGGTGCCGGTGGCACCGCAGGGAACGGGCACGGAGCGAGCTCGGCTCGGCTGCACCGGCCCGGCTTCCTCAGACCCCCCCTCGCTGCCCTAAAGGTGCCAGGAGCAGAGAGTGGCCCCTACGGGATGAGGATGGGTGCCAGAGGATGGAGGTGTCCGACAGCGCCGGGCGCTGCCGGGATGGGCCCTCCGCTCCCGGCCGGCCCSGCCGCGCTGGCAGAGCTGGCATGGGCCGGAGCCAGCCCCCCTCCCCGACTGCCACCTGCGCCCGCTYGCTGGGCCAGCTGTCCCCTGCCCCGGGAGAGCCACCGTGACAAAGCCACCGTGTGCTGGCTGGGGGGGCTTCTCGTGCCGAATTGAGGGAGGAGGAGGAGGGCGGGGGGCAAAGGAAAAGCCAGAGCTGGTGTGAAATGCCAAGCCAGGGAGAGGTGGGTTTGGAAAAAAAATATAATAAGGAGGAGGGAAGTGTCAGAGAGGAGGAGGGGGAAGATCCAAGGAGAGATCTGAGGCTGGCTGAAGCTGGCTGCAGGAGAGCCAGCTGAGCAGGGGTGAGCCTTTTTTTGGAGGGGTGTGTTGGGGAGCTCAGATCAGATTTGAGTAGTTCAGCCCCAAAGCTGAGCAGCTCGAGTGGAGAAAGCACGGAGAAAATTTTGGAAGGTGGGGGAGGAAAAGGGTGGATTTCAAGACAAGAAGTTGTAAATAAAAACTTACATCTGGCTGTGGAATGGCATACTGTCCTTGAATGGTATAGGCCTACAAAAGGAGGAAAACAGTCCTATTAACAACCATCGGACAGCCACCCAGGGACAGACAGATTTCAACTAGCCAGGAAGTCAGAGAGCCAAGGTGGAGAGTTCTCCGGGGCGAGGGAAGTGGGGCAGGAGAGGCGGGGACGGATAAATGCTGTCACAAGCAGTTTCTAGGCTGGCGGTTACTCGAATTGGCCTGACGTGGCGGGTACGGGGAGGGGG